TGAAGAATAAAACGCCTTCACTTTAATAGGGTGAATCGAAAACGGCGGTCAATTTTTTTTTAATTGTATTAGAAGCTGAATTTATCAAATTATGTTTGAACACGTTTTGTAGAGCTATGACCACTGATAAAAAATATATAACAAAACCTAACAATTTCATGACATTTTATTATTTATTTATTATGGTCTTGAAAATATTGCATATCGTAAATAAATTGTAATTATATTCATTTTGATAGAAAAATGTACTTAAAATACCCAAACTACCAAATAATGTGGGGTCCGTTTATGTGGGGCCTACCCCGAAATCTAAGTCAATATTGATATTATTTTTGGAAATTCCTAATACTAAATTATAGGCAAAATCTCCAAAAAACCAACATTATATGAGGGCTACCCCAAATAGTGGACCAAAATTAATCATTTTTGGTAAAAATATGGTCTGAGCAATGCGAACCCTTAATTCAAAATTACAAGCCATTTTTATCATCAGCTATGTTTGTGAAAGTCAATTTTATTTTTTTATTAAATTGTTAAAGGCAATTTTCAACAACTATTTTTTATAATCCACAATAACTATTTATTATATGAACGGTCGCGAAATTTTGCATAGAGAACATATCAAGTCGTCGATTGGTGCTATAACCATTAAAATAATCTCTAGGTTGTGTAACTCTTTTTTTTTGGAAATATGGTATTTAAAACTTTTAGATACGGAATTTTTATTGATTATCTTCTAATTTCTAATAATTTTAACTTTCATTATAATCAGCAATTCCATCTGTGTAATTGACCTTCATTTCATGTTAATATTTTGACGCATGTCAATATTATATAACATTTTTCAAATATAAATTATATTCACAAAAAAAAAACGAATTTTTGACTTTGACCTCATGTCATTTGTAAACCATGACCTACAATGTTATAAAACTTTACGGGTGCAACGCTCAAAGCCTCCAGTTTCGAAATATTTAACTTTTTTTTAGCTCTACTTAAAATGGACTTTTTGTCAAAAATGGGATTCCTGGCCCATAGTGAGGCGTATTTTGAAATTCTTCCAACACTTCGGGCAAAAAAAAAAAAAAAAAAACACATTCAGAACATTTTTAAAATGTCTTTGTACCAATCAAAAGAGGACGTTATCGTGCCATTTCGTTATTTCGTAGGTTTAAACCGCAATCCGGGTTTTTGATGGGTAAAAAAACACATTGTACACAATTTTCAATATAGATCAATAGATCAAGGCATAGCCCTCATATAAAGGAACTGGATTATTTTCTCTTTTAAAAGATTTTAATCGCATTTCCCCATTGAAGTGCCTGCAAAAAGGTCCTTCGGCTGCTTGGAGGTTGTAGAGGTCCCACCATACTTTCAGCAATTATTGAACCGAATGGATGTGTTTATACCCTTCACCACACTGTGGTACATATTTGTGCATATGTTTGTAATAGGCAAAAGGAAACGAGAAACTTTTTAAGTCGATTTATCCATGACCGTCCGTCCGTCTGTCTGCCTGTCCATGTTAAATTGTAAACAAAGTACAGGTCGTATTTATGATCCGAATTGGATGAAATTTGGCATAGGTCACTAATTTGGCCCAAGGACGAACCCTATTGAGATTGGGAAAAAATCGGTCCAGATTTAGATATAGCTCCTATATATAATTTCGTCCGATTTAATGTAAATGGTGTAAGAAGAAAACCAAATTTTTGCATAAATTTGTCGGCACAGGTCTATTTTTTACATCGTCCTCATATAAAAAAGAAATTTTAAATATAAGACCATATTTCGGAATTTTTTAAAAATATAAATCCATTTTGCGAATGGGTTGAGAAAACCAATTCTTCGCAGAAAAATTTTAAAATAGGTCCATGTTTTTGCATATTCAACATATATAAAAAATTATCTTTTTTTTAGTAAGCCAGCTTGATCCCTTTTTTGTGGGGTTTAAAAATAAAAACAACAAGATTTTTATTCTTAAAGTGGGTTATGGTCACATTGATTAATTTTGGGAAATTCAGACTATAGTTTCGGATTTCGCAACAAATCCTCATCAGTTCTCTTAGTTTTTTGCTTGGGATATTGTCCCAGGGTGTCATGTATCACTCCACTAAACAAAATCGTAAATTGCCGATTCAAAAAATTATGTTATCGATAAGTTTTTTTCTGTAGAATTATTTAAAATCCAATACCGAGCATTAATTAAATTTTATTATGTTTTCTTATAATATGTATTTTCAAAAATGATACTAAATTGTGTATAATTTATTACCCTTTGTTCTCTTGCAAAACTTATTTCGAAAAAAATCAGAATCCAAATTCAAATTCTAATTTAGTACCAGTTAGTTAGTAGACATCAATGTAAATTTCCATAATTACCTACTTCAAAAATCATAACTACGAATTTCCAAAACACCACAATCTTAATTCCAAATCTCAGGATTCCACCTCTATCGGTTCACCTAAATCCAAATTATTTCAAATCTACTACCATTTAGTACATATACGTAGAAATTGTTATTACTACCTACATTGTGCAATCATATAGAAACCTTATTACCCAATGTCAGGATTCCAGCTTTATCCAAATGTCGATTTGATTCCAGCTCTATCGGTTCACCCAAATCTAAATTCGTCCAAATGTGTACCATTTAGGTACCCATTAGGGCGAATTTCCAAAACGTTCTACAATCCTACTAGGGTTAAGTAAATCGACTTTCGACTAATCGAATTATCTACTTTTTGTATTGAAAAGTCTAAAAGTCGAAGTCGACTTTTGATCTATGAGAAAATCGTAAATTCGACTTTTCAAGATCGAGTTTCGATTTTCTTCATAAATACTTGGTTTTTTATCACAAAGCTCAAATTGCCCACACAAAAATTCATATAAAAAAATCAAAAATTTTCGTCGATTTTGCAGAAGTCAGTAAAAGTCGAAAATCGATTTTGAACAGTTTTGGCAAAATCGAAAGATCGAAAAGCGACTTTTTAGTCAAAAGCAAAAATCGAAAAGTCTAAAAATCGACTTTTGCGCTCTACTACGTATCCCCAACATCTAACACTACAATAATGACCCCAACTCCAAGCTCTATCAGTTCCCACAAATTATACCAAATTTAGTACAATTTTAGTACCCATAAATATAAATTTCCAAAACTACATTCATACCCCAATGCTATTTCCAAATTTCAAGATTCCCGGACTATTGGTTCACCCAAAATTTAAATTGTACCAAATTTAGTACACGTAACGAATACGAATTTCCAAAAGTTTATATACACCTACACCCCAACAGTGATCCTAACGTTAAATTTCAAAATTCCAGCTCTATCGGTTCACTCAAATCCAAATTGTACCAATTATAATACGATTTAGTAGTTTTCGCACACATAAGTAAAAAAATTCCAAAACCACGTACATATCTCAATCGTACACCCCGAAGGTAATGTTAATTTCAAATTTCAGGATTCCAGCTTCATCCGTTTCTCTAAATTCAAATTGTACCATATGTAGTACAGTTTAGTACTTGTATTATACATGAGTACACGCTTCCAAAATCACCACCTCCTAATATCGACCATACTTTTCAACCTTATTTTGCATACCAAATTTCAAGTTTTTTTAGATCTTTTGCCACGAAATTGTACCAAATTTTGTACTTTTCGGATACTTACAGTTCTAGCCTTAACCGTTTCGTCTGGACGATGATGAATCGTTAAGTCAGTCAATCACTTTACTCTTTTATTAGTAAAGATTCAAGTACTCGATATCAACTATATTTTCCATCAAAATTCAAAAATTAGAGCAAAAATTCCCACTGTATTCTATTGCCTACATTTCCTCCTTTCCCCCTGAACTATCAACAATAGTCGCATGTTTTTTGTTGCATATTTACTTTTTTTGGTACTTCCACAATAATGTCTATGAATTAGATTACAAAACAGCGGTATATCACAAAATAAAAATTTATCATTTCAACCAGCTTCTTATGTTTTTTTTTATTTTTTGTTGTCACTACTCATCTTGAACTTTTTCCCATCGACGACTATAAAAAGGGTTGGCACTTGCTACTGATAGTTTTTTTTTTTTTTTTGTATCCTCCTCTCCTTATCCTCCCCTCCCCTATGCTTTCTTTTATATTTTCGACATATAGCCATATTCTTTCTTTGGGAGGCTGTTCCTTTTTGTTTGTTTGGCATCTTGAATTTCCTTCGTTTTTTTCTCTCTACTAATTTTGCCAAATAAGTTGAACTGACAAAATCTGTTTGTTATTCTTCGTGGAGAATTGCAATTTTAATAAATTTATTGAAATTACAAAGGCTATATTTTTTAGTGTTTTTTTATTCGTTCGTCCTGTAGCGAATCGTTCACTTGAGAAGACAAATAAAAAAATGGTCGTCGATGTTCGTTTTGCCAAGGAAGTGAAGGAGTTCACCAATATGTCATAAGTCAAAATCTGTTTACAAATGAATCTGTTTTTTTTTCTTGTTCTTTTTGGGAGGGTGAAATGAAAATAAATTTGTTTGCCCTTTGACCTCATGCCATTTGGAATTTGTTTTGATTGGTGGGAGATAATATATATGTATGGGGAGGAGATGGCTAGACTTGAGGGTACTATGGATATAGTTGCTTAGTATTAGATATCAAATAGATGATATGAGATTTTTATTAGGCTCTATAAGAATAAGGTCCTTGGGGCAAAACATCAAGTCATTTTGAAATCAAGACCCTTCAAATCCAAAGTAAATGATAATATATTCCCGTACTCATAAGTGGTAGAACTATTCAACTTTATAGCGCAACTTCGATTCGAGCAGAATCTTGCAGGTTCTGGAATAAAGTAAAATTATTAAATTTATTCCAATCAGCATTTACTTTTGCTTTTCTTTGACAAATAATTTTTACAACATTTTTATTGCTTTGTTTTGATTTTTTTCAAACCCTAATTTCATATTCTCTTCAATATTTGTTTGTTTTTTTTTTCTCTTTCCTTACAGTGCATCTATGGTTGTTATGTACATTCTGCCATATTGCCCACATTTCATCGCAGATGTTATTGGCTATTACAAAATCCCGATATTGTTTTGGTACACTATTTGAATGTGCCATATCCGGATGATAATAAAATGGCCGTCATAGCGCCGAGCATCAGTTTGTGGGGCGATAAAAAAGAGTGGACAAAGGAGGAATTGGTTAGCCAATTGAAACCCATGTGTAAGTATATTTTTTTAAGGGAATTAAATTTAAAAAAAAAATATTTGTAATAAATAAAAAAAATCCTTTTCCCCTTCCATTCCAGTGTCAACAGTAACCTCAGATGATGAATCGGATTCCGGCAATGATATTGAAATATCGGTAAGTTCGAATTCAAACGATGTATTTTATTCAAAATTTTGAATACTGTTTTTTAATTTTCTTTTAATTGTCAAATTTTTTTCCAGACTGCCGAAACCGTTGAATCTATTGTCTGCCAGCTGATGGAGAAACAACGTTTATCCCGTCAAGCAGCTCTAGTCAAACAATTGGATTGTGGTTGTGGTGATGCCTCGTGTGCCGATGGTAAAACCTGCACCCATCCCGTTATGCGTAGACCCAGTTTAATTAAATCCACGAACGAGAAACGTTTGCCGGCTTCCAATTCGGCTGAGAATTTTGCTCATGGTGGTAATACGGCAGCCACGCCGAATGTTGTTGTGGGGCCTAAGGTAAGTACAAGAAGTATTTATTTAAAAACCAGTGAGCGGAGCAGTATAGTCGGACGGGGCCGACCATACGATACCCTACACAACTACCACGGAACTCATATTTTCTGCGGATGTTTATTCCGAGACTGGGCAATATTTTGTGATCTTGCCCGATTAGAGGTAAACAGCACCTCTTCCTCACTGACATATTTTCCGTATATTACGAGTATTCAGTACAGCTATTGTCCCTTCACCGTGGGTTGTGTTGTGATGTTCGGCTTTCATTTGTGGTATATAGATCGACTCGAGAATAACACCAAAAATTAAGTTTTCGGTCCACTTCATTCCAAAATTATTATCTGATCATCACCGAAAATTATAGGCGTTGTCCTTGACCATAACTGGAACCTCATGGAACATTTCAAAGCGATCAGCGCTATAATTCCGCTCTCCAGAGTGATAATGGGTTACTAAATAATATACGAATACGGAGATACCTGTAAATATTTAGGTGTAACTCCCACATCCGAGCACATACAACAATATAATTGGTCTCAAGTTAAAGGTCAACCACTCCTCTAGGATATAATATCAACTTCTCGGGTATATGTCCTTCAGGGGCAAATATATACGCCATAGAATACAAATTTTGTCATTTTTCACACAAAAGACAGGGTCCATTTGACCCGCTAAATATTGACCGATCTTTCTCCAAACTGGCATGCTTATTCTTTGGCCCGATCCGCTTCTCCATGCAAAATTTCACGATGTTCGGGCCATTGTTGCGGCCTCTGGAGCGACCAGAAAAACCGACAAAAATTTAGTATTTGGTCCATTTCATCCCCTAAATATTAACCGATCTTTTCCAAAAACAGTAGGGGTCTTCATTGGCCTGAACCCATCCTACATGCAAAATTTCGTGAAGATTGGTCCATAACTGTGGCCTGTATCGTGTTTACAAATTATAATGGACAGACGGACGGACGGACACACATGTCTAGATCGACTCAGCTAGTCGAGATATGACGATCGGTATACTTAAAGGTGGGTCTAGGACCAATATTTCGCGGCGTTACAAACTTTTGGGGCTGCACAAAGCTATAATACCCTGACAACATAGTTGTGTAGGGTATAAAGAGCAAGAGCTCTAGAGATATTTTTCTCTAAAAATGTTAGGACACTTGGTCTATTGAATTTCATAACGTGGATACGTAATATATGAGTGTACATTTTTCGTAGAAAAATCTAATCGGAATTGAATTTTTATAGAACATAGAATAGACTTCGTGGTCTGACATCTGCCAAAGTAGGTTCACTACATGCAAGGATAATACAAATCAGACCTCTGGTAGTGATAATTTTTTTTTCTGCAGAATAAATCAATCCTCTTATTTTTCTGTAAAAAAAATAGCTATCTGGTCCTGAGCAATTTTTATACCCTACACAACTATGTTGTCAGGGTATTATAGCTTTGTGCAGCCCCAAAAGTTTGTAACCGTTTTTCTGGTCGCTCCAGAGGCCGCAACAATGGCCCGAACATCGTGAAATTTTGCATGGAGAAGCGGATCGGGCCAAAGAATAAGCACGCCAGTTTGGAGAAAGATCGGTCAATATTTAGCGGGTCAAATGGACCCTGTCTTTTGTGTGAAAAATGACAAAATTTGTATTCTATGGCGTATATATTTGCCCCTGAAGGACATATACCCGAGAAGTTGATATTATATCCTAGAGGAGTGGTTGACCTTTAACTTGAGACCAATTATATTGTTGTATGTGCTCGGATGTGGAAGTTACACCTAAATATTTACAGGTATCTCCGTATTCGTATATTATTTAGTAACCCATTATCACTCTGGAGAGCGGAATTATAGCGCTGATCGCTTTGAAATGTTCCATGAGGTTCCAGTTATGGTCAAGGACAACGCCTATAATTTTCGGTGATGATCAGATAATAATTTTGGAATGAAGTGGACCGAAAACTTAATTTTTGGTGTTATTCTCGAGTCGATCTATAGACCTCAAATGAAAGCTGAACATCACAACACAACCCACGGTGAAGGGAATCTTGACAATAGCTGTGCTGAATACTCGTAATATTCGGAAAATATGTCAGTGTGAGGAAGAGGTGCTGTTTACCTCTAATCGGGCAAGAGGGTGCAAATTTCACGAAATATTGCCCAGTCTCGGAATAAACATCCGCAGAAAATATGAGTTCCGTGGTAGTTGTGTAGGGTATCGTATGGTCGGCCCCGTCCGACTATACTGCTCCGCTCACTGGTTTTGTATACAAAAATTGCCCTCAGCAGGTCTCTGGATCTAAAGATTTTCTTCTATATAAATCTGAGGAAATATCTGCTTATTTACGTACGTAGCTGGCTCGAGACAGAACATTTGTTCCATTAGCCGAACTTAAAAAAGAATTGCAGGCTCCTCGTCGTTTTTCCAATTTGAAAGGCGGCGCTTTGATTTGTCATCCTTCGCTTGATCTTTCCATTTAATTTGTGGCCTTTCTCTTCTGCGTGAACCATCAGTTCACTCACTTTATAGATCTTTCGGCTAAATGTTCACTCAAACACTCCAAAGGCAGCCTCATCTGTTTGCACAACTACCAATGCTTCGGATCCATACAACAGTACGGGTAGTATAAGCTTCTTGTAGAGTGTGAGTTTGATCTGGCGATAGGTGGCCTTGTCTCTAAATTGGTTACTTAGACCTTAGTAGCATATGTTAGCCAACACTATTCTCTTCCGAATTTCAAAACTGATGTCATTAGTTTTATTTCTGTCGGTACTTGGTACCGTTCTTTCACCACCTCAAAGCTGCAGTTTTCATTTTCCCAGCAGGTCCGAGGCTACTGAACGTCTTGCGCTTAGATACCATCTACCTGATCTTCTCGCCATTTACTACCACACCCATTTGGGCAGACTCCGCTCCGCTGTTACCGCTCGCAATTTTCGACCTATTATATCGATGTCATCGGCGTAGGCGAGTAACGTGCGATGTTTGTTGTACATAGTGTAATTTCTGTTCACCGTTGCCTGTCGAACGAACTTTTCCAGCAGGATATTAAAAACACTCACGGACTCCTCGTTCGGTATTGAAGCGCTCCGAGAGGTTCTTTCCGACAAGTTATCTTACACAGCTGTATTCATTTTGCAGGAATGACGAACACAGTCATGGCTTTCAATACCTCTATCCGGGCTGTCGAATGCGGCTTTATAGTCGACGAATGTGTGGAATGTGTCGTTGTGTTTTTCGTGGGTCTTTTCCGGGATTTGGCGCAGAGTGAAAATCTAGTCAATGGTGGATTTGCCAGGTCCGTAGCCAAATTGGTATGGTCCAAAATGTCATTGACTAAATGTCGTTCACACGACTGTAGCCAATATAGTTGGCACATATCGTCTTGTCTTCTTTTTGTGCACGGGACACAGGATGCTGAGGTTTCAATCATTGGGCATGCATTCCTCTACCCAAATTGTACTAATCAGCTGGTGCATGCTCCTTACCAGCATCTGACCACCAGTCTTGTGTGGACAGATATCAGCTCACTATTTTAATGGATGATGAAAGAAGCAACCTAAGGTGACACCGCGGGGAGGCCATTGTCCACAATTGAGATGAAAGAGGGACAAAGATAAGCCTGGGTTTTGCCATGTCAAAGCCAATCAAAGCCGTTCTTTGGCATCTATCATCCCCCTACGTCACCGCAGACTCCTTAGTACGACAATTAACAACTTTAACTCTTTTCTACAACCGAAGGATCCGTAGATCTGGCCAAACCGAATGTTCCGTAGGTCAGCAGGGTTTCTAGGCGCCAGTGTCGGATTCTGGGCTTCCTGCTTCGAGAATGCGGGGTTGGGTTTCACCTCACCCTTACCACTCTTGTAAGGATTCTCCATCGACGCTACCGACGCGTACGAAACAATGCGTCGTGCATCCAACGACTGCATGGGTCTCTTAGCAACAGGTTGTTGCTCATCCAGGGACATCAGTCTCTTCACTGCCGCAGAGGTAGACTCAGCTGTTGTTGTTCACCAACAACTGCCCAAATTCCATAACCTTTGATTTATGTTTTGGCAATACACCAGTGGGCGGATTGTCAGATTTGGTTTACTGTTTGAAGAGAGGTTGTACCTTATTAGCCTTTCTTATTAGACATTTTAACGGGCTCTCCTTCGGGCTGACTTCGACACTCCCTTACCCTCTCTCAATTAAGAAATCACTCGCAATATTATTCGGATAACTCCTGGAGAACTTCCGAATAAATTCGAGGTTCCTTTTAATTAGAAGGAATTACTTATTCGTCAACAAACGACAGAGGGGTCTACGATCCGAAACGAACCGACTCTTACTCGGCCAACGCTTGTCACCTCAGTCCGTTGTGTAAAAGCAATAGGGCTGCTACAACAACAACTTATCCGTGATTGAGTCTCTGTCCCGTTCGATAAAATCTTCTTGTCAGGGAATTCTTTGGCGTTGACACGTTTAGTGGTTCCCGGTTCTGATGATTCATCCATATTTACGATGGGAAGGTCATCAGCACAAGTATCTACTTCAACGGCCAACTGCCTCAGGAGCCTCGAGACTTCAGTACTAGCCGTGGAGATGGAATTAGGATCTTCTCCTCGTCAGAGTTTAGGTTCCTATTCCTAATCTGACTCACCTTAATTTGGAGTTGTCACTGGGATAGCTATAGTGTTAGTCACCGTAGTTTTTATGACAGCGGTAGTCGCCCCAGAGTTGTGTCGGCCATAGTATTACCTCTTACCATAGTATTACCTCTTACCATAGTAAGAACTCGGCAACTAAGCCTGAAAAATTTGTTGAGACGCCCAGTTATCAACAAGGTTTCATTCAAATACAGTCGGTACACTGACTACAAACCCTAAAACACCAATGGGCACGAGAACGCCTAACACCCCATTTGAAGACGCCATTCTCGGCTCGTTAGTCCTGGAATCATAGGCACTCGGTCATGTTCTCCGAATACTCCCCCCAGGACCCGCTGTTTGTCTGCGTCTGTTTATTAAATATTCACAGCTACACAAAGAATAATATTGGACTTTCCACTATCCGCAATCTGTGGACGCATCCGCTCTGCTCCCCGCAGGCGGATATACAGAAGAATTTTTCTTTTCTAAAAAAATCAGAACTCATGGTCTGAGTAATTTTTCTATAAAAAACATCTGGGTCTAAGGAATTGTTTCTATAAGAAATCAAACTTAGAGGCTGATCAATGTTTCTCTATAGAAAAATCTAACCGCATAATGGATACTTTTCTAAAGAAAAAATTAGGATTTTTTTCTGGAAAAAAACAGATGACTCAGAGGCTGATAAATTTTTCTCTATAGAAAAATCTAACCGCATAATTAATATTTTTCTAAAGAAAAAAAAATCAGATCTCTTTTTCAGATGATTTTTTTCTGTAAAAAACTGGTTTTTTCGTAGACAGACCATAGTACTTGGTTCTGAAGATTTTTTAATATAAATGTCTGAGGAAATATCTCCTACTGAGAGATATTTCCAATTTTTTTAATGACAGTTGTGACTGAGTTTTTTGTAGAAAATGTTTTTACTAAAAAAAAAATCTCAGATCTGATCACAATTTGTTTTACATTGTGATTTTTATTTGCCCCTCTTTCCCCTCATTACAGCTCTATTCCCGCTGGTTGGATAAGCGAGCCATACGTGATGCCAGCAATGCCATGGACACGCAAAACTCTCATTATACACAGCAACAACAACAGCAGCAGCAACAACATCATCATGGTCATGGTCATCATGCGCCGACTCAGCAGCTGCCACAAGAATCCGCAATTAAATTTCAAATTATTCCGCCACACAATGAACAACAACAACAGTATCGACAACATCATTACAATGCTGCAAATGTTGGCAACCATCAACAGCAACAGCAAATGATGAATAATCGAAATAATTTAATAATGCAACAGCAGCAGCAACAACAACAGCAACAAATGCAAACAAATCAAACTAATTTCAATCAAATGCAAGTCGTCAACAATGGCAACAACAACACAATTGTCAATAATGGTGTTGTTGTCAGTTCGACTGGTAGTAATTTGCAACGTTACAATAGTGCAACACAACTAATGCAACAGCAGCAGCAGCAACAACAACAACAACATCGTTTCCAAATTGCCAAGACAACCGTTACTGCAATGGAACACAGTGGCAATAATTCGAATAATGTCACAGCTAATCAACAAACCGCAACCATCTCCGCAGCATCATCACAATCAGTGATGTCGTCCACTCCCACAACAAGTCAATCAAATTTAAATAATGCCACTGGTTCTGGAGGTGGTGGTGGTGGATTGGATGTTAATATACTCAGTCATACAACGAATACAAATTCGGCCAGCACTAACACCGGAGGAGGAGTTGGAGGTGTAGGTAGTAATACTAGTAATAAAATCAACCACAACCACACAAATATCAATGCAACTGGAACAACAACAACAACTGCTGGTTTGCATCAAAAGCAAAATGATTTAAATACCATAAATAATAATGGCCCCAATAATAATAACAACAACAACAAATACACAACTAATTACAATCAGCAAATAAATTCTTCCAATAACAATTCGATGTTAAGCCATGTCAACACCCAGCAACAAAAACAAGAACAGCAGCAACAACAACAATATTATAAATTACAACAAAGCAATAACAATAAACAACATCTACCACAGCAGCAGGAGCACCAACAACAACAACCACCACCCTCTTCAACAGCATCCTCTACCGTTGAACCCATGTGTATGTCACCGGAACATCAACCCTCCACAATAACATCCTCCACTGTCTTATCTTCGCCATCACAAAACTCACACCCCAACAACAGCAACAACAACAATCATCACACACAGCATCACAAGCAACCGCATTTAATGATGTCTTCATCCGATTCCATTTCGGAATCATCAACGTCTCTCTCATCATCGTCGTCGTCTTCAACTTTGCCTGCATCTGCATCGTCACAGAATTTTATGGATGTAAATCAAAAGTCCAATAATAATATCGGTAGCACTACAACTACAACAACAGAAAATACACAGGTATGTAGAGAGAGAGAGAGAGAGTGCAAATTATTACAATAATAAAGAAAATACTGACCACACTTTACGATTATTCTATTCCGAAACAAATTTTCAATTAAAGCAATAAAATTGAAAAAAAGGAATTAAATTAAAAGAAGTAGAGACATGATAGGATGAAGGTTAGGAAAAAAAAAATAAAAATATTATGTAATACAGAACGAAGCAAGAATTCTATGCAGGTCAAATAACAATTTTCTAGATCTGTGTACAATCTGCAGAATCACCAAGATTTTTTAACCAGTAAGGAAAGTAGTAAAGTCGGACGGAACCGACTATATGATACCCTTCACCACTTTGGGTATATTCAACAGATGAATTCAAACAGACGTCGCATTTTTAAAGGACCAGCAAAATGAAATTTGATCCATAAACATGTCATTCTGCAACCTATTCTAATTTTTTCATTTGGCCAGATATAGAAGATATATCTAAATCTGAACCGATTTCAGGAAACTTAAAACACATCATTCTAGACCTAATTCATTACGCTGTGCCAAATTTGGCACACATCATTCTAGACCCAATTCAGTACTCTATGTCAAATTTCGTGCAAATCGAATGATATATAGGGTCTTTGGTGCATCATTGACCTTAAATCGGACGAAACTATATATGGGAGCTATATCTAAATATAGCTATAGTGTTAGTCTGAACCGATTTTCTCGAAACTTGGCACATATCATTCTGGACCTAATTCAGTACTCTATGCCAAATTTCGTGCAAATCGAATGACATATAGGGACTTTGGTGCACGATTTACCTTAAATTGGACGAAACTATATATTGGAGCTATATCTAAATCTGAACCGATTTTCTCGAAACTTGGCACACATCATTCTAGACCTAATTCAGTACTCTATGTCAAATTTCGTGCAAATCGAAAGATATATAGGGACTTTCGTACACCATTTACCTTAAATCGGTCGAAAATATATATGGGAGCTATATCTAAATTTGCACCGATTTTTCCCAATTTCAATAGGGTTCGTCCTTAGGCCAAGTAAGTGACTTGTGCCAAATTTCATCCAAATCGGATCATAAATGCGACCTGCACTTTGTTTACAATATAAAATCTACAGACGGACGGACATGCATAAATCGACTTAAAAAGTGATTCTATGCATATTCTCAAAAGAAACCATGTGTCTATCTCGTTTCCTTTTGCCTGTTACAAACATATGCACAAAGACATAATACCCTGTACCACAGTGTGGTGAAGGGTATAAAAATACAAGACTCTGTCTTTTCTTCACGATAAAGTTCTATGTTCAGCTGCTACATGTTAATGGTGCCGTTACCACTATATTGCCCAGATCAAGTGGGATATGTTGTTGCGTGAAATTAAAGATTGACATTATCTTATGAAGAATTTTGAAAACTATTTTTTCTACAGAGAAAATCAGCCATTTGGGTTTGGATCATCGTCAGATACCGAGGACAATTTTGTTACCCTCTAAGAAGGCGTAAATATTTAATTCGCATTCCGGTTGCAATACCTCGAAATATTAGCTTGTGACCCCATAGTATATACTTTATTCTTGATCAGAAAAAAATCTATAACGATAATGTCTGTATGTAGTAATTTTGATCATTTTTCCAAATACACTGCTCCATGTGCGTTATTTTTGATGTTTTGATCTAATTTTCCAACTGTAGATGTTGTAATATGACTTTGAGTCCAGTTACCATAGAGGTGAAGGAGAAGCTCCGCCTCTGCAACCATACAATGATAATTGTTTATCTGCCACCACCTTCAAGCTCCGCTGCATTCGATTGTTTTTGTGATGAAGGGAGGCGGAAGTCCCAAACCATACATCCGTATGAAGACCGGCGTTTTGTTTATCGACGATCCTCTGCATCTAATCTAATTCTAAGAGAGGAGTAGGGAACCATACAGAGGCTACATACTGCACGGGATCTCATTCACGGGTACAGCCGAGAGTTTTCCATCCTCCCAATGGGTGTTTAGTTCATTTACTGCCTTTATAATGTAGTCAAGAAGATTTACTGTAGCGGTTAACTACTAAATAACAGACAAGGAGTTCTTTCTAATTAAGAGGATCCTCAAATACATCCGAATGTTATCCAGGAACTATCCCAATGATGTTGCGATGGACTTCTTAATTGATAGAATTCCTATATCACGTGCGAAGTCTACCACGGTAGCCCCTTCCAAAAGAGGAGAAAACTAGGACCCCAAGGAAAACCTAAGCGCTGAGAAATCCCCGACATCATCAAAGCAACTAAGGGTAAGGGACAGTCGATGTCAGCCCGACGGAGAGCCTGTAACCCGCTTACTGATGAAATGTCAAAACCGAAGTCCAAGGTTATACTAAATTGGGCAGTTTTTGCGGGATAAATATAAGTGGCGAACACGAAGCAGGTGCTCGCGACAGCTGGGTTAACCTCTGCGGCTGCCAAACACAGCCCTCGGCAGTGAAGTGAATACGGCCCTCGGACGAGCAACAACCTGCTGCGAAGAGACCCACTAGGTACTGCTTCGTACACGTCGGCAGTGTCGATGGAGAAACCTACCCATAGTGGTAAGGTTGTGGTGAAAGCCAAACACACCGTCTCGAAGCAGGTAATCCAGAAACCTACATCGACGCATAGCGATACTGCTGATCTACCAGAGGTACCGGAGGATCTGCGAGTAGCAGTCATGGATTGAGCTGACCCCGCCGGGATTATTGGTGATGATAAATGATTACTGGTCGACAGCTATCTGAAGCATAGGAGTATGCGGACTTACTTAAGATGACTGAGATGACTCTATGGGGATTTCAGATGGGGAAGTGGAGAATCCTCACCTCATTTGAAAGAAATTTTGTAACTTCGGTATATTCTTCTAAATTGAAATTAAACTAAATCTTTTTTATATTTAAATTTTTTCTCAATTAATTTTTCATCTATCAACGAATCCACACGGAATTATGTGAACGAAAAAACACGAAGAGAGATGAAAGAGAGATTCAAAAGAACTATCTAGGGGTCGGAACTATATGGGGCAAAGAAACTATATTAAGGAACTAGTTCCTTTTTGAATAAAGCCATTTTGTCAGAAAATTCTTCTTTTTAGCTGTTTGCTGTGCCTCTGTCGATTTCATCCTCTTCATTGCTAAAGGCATTGAGGAGTATTATATTTCAGTTTAACAGCCGCAGACACATCTTCTAAGTTTGGTCTTGTGCTTTGATACTGAACAGAGCGTTCTATTTGTCTTCGCCTTGGTAGAGCTCTCGGCAAAGGTAGCCACCATACGCGTGTAAGAATTAGGCCAATTGGTTCCATAGAGGTCTTCGTACTTCCTCACGACCTTTAGATACTTCCTTATCCAGCTGAATTGTTTCTCTATTCGAAGGTAGCTGTGACGAATTGTCAAAAGGTCTGACTTTCGTTTTCCCTGTGGTATCATTCCCACTTCATTCTTTATTCGCTAATAATGCCGAATCTCTGGCAAATCCTGAAGGTTCCTGTGAAGACTGTCAATAGATCCGGTTTCATATTAACAATGATAGGCTTCCCACTATCTTTCCTGATGTTTATTGGAACATGCGTGACGGCGGTCCGCGCTGCTTTCGTCAGCAAGTGCTTCATTGCAGCTGGTTGCTGTCCTCCGTCAATCTCATCCTATTCATTGCTATAGGCATTGAGGAGGATTGAATTTCAGTTGGAAAAGCTTCCACCTTAGTCACCGATCCTGCCGCTGACACATATTTTGTCTTTGGTCTTGTGTTTGCCACATTATTTGATCATATACAGTGAGTTTCCTTTATCGTCGCCTTGGTACAGGTTCCGGCAGAGGTAGTCACCGTACGTGAGTTTCCTTTATCGCCGCCTTGGTACAGGTTCCGGCAGAGGTAGTCACCGTACGTTAGATAGGAGTTCGGTCGATCGGAAGTTCCCTAGAGGACTTTGTACTTTCTCACGACCTTTAGGTGTTTCCTTATCCAGTTGAATTCCACGGATGGAGGATTGGACTATATAGGAATTTTGGAAATGCATAGTATTGTGTACTTATATGGTACCAAATTTGGATTTGGGTGAACCGATTGAGCTGGAATTCAGAAACCGGGAAATAAGATTTCCATTGTTTGAATCATATAAATAGTTTTAAAAAGTCTTACATAGGTTTACTAAGTCTGGTACAATTTGATGTTTTGCTGAACCGATAGAGCTGGAGTCCTGAAATTTGGAGTAAGGATCATTGTTGGGGTGTAGGATTGGGGCATATAGGAAGTTTTGGAAATTGAACTGGAATCCTGAAATTGGGAAATATAATTTTTATTGGATTTTTATTAATTATTATATTAATTATTATTGTATTCTTTATTAATTTTTATACCCTACACAACTATGTTGTCAGGGTATTATAGCTTTGTGCAGCCCCAAAAGTTTGTAACGCCGCGAAATATTGGTCCTAGACCCACCTTTAAGTATACCGTTCGTCATATCTCGACTAGCTGAGTCGATCTAGACATGTGTGTCTGTCCATTATAATTTGTAAACACGATACAGGCCACAGTTATGGACCAATCTTCACGAAATTTTGCATGTAGGATGGGTTCTGGCCAATGAAGACCCCTATTGTTTTTGGGAAAGATCGGTTAATATTTAGGGAATGAAATGGACAAATACTAAATTTTTGTCGGTTTTTCTGGTCGCTCCAGAGCCCGCAACAATGGTCCGAACATCGTGAAATTTAGCATGGAGAAGCGGATCGGGCCAAAGAATAAGCATGCCTGTTTGGAGAAAGATCGGTCAATATTTAGCGGGTCAAATGGACCCCGACTTTTGTGTGAAAAATGACAAAATTTGTATTCTATGGCCTATATAGTTACCCCTGAATGACATAGACCCGAGAAGTTGACATTATATCAAAGAGGAGTGGTTGACCTTTAAATTAATACCAATTATATTGTTGCATGTGCTCGGATATGGGAGTTACACCTAAATAGTTACAAGTATCTCCGTATTCGTATATTATTTAGTAACCCATTATCACTCTAGAGAGCGGAACTATGGCGCTGATCGCTTTGAAATGTTCCATGAGGTTCCAGTTATGGTCAAGGACAACACTATAATTTTCGGTGATGATCAGATAATAATTTTGGAATGAAGTGGACCGAAAACATAATTTTTTGTGTTATTTTCGAGTCGATCTATAAACCACAAATGAAAGCCGAACATCACAACACAACCCACGGTGAAGGGAATCTGGACAATACTTGTACTGAATACTCGTAATATTCGGAAAATATGTCAGTGTGAGGAAGAGGTGCTGTTTACCTCTAATCGGGCAAGAGGGTGCAAATATCACGAAATATTGCCCAGTCTCGGAATAAACATCCGTGGTAGTTGTGTAGGGTATCGTATGGTCGGCCCCGTCCGACTATATTGCTCCGCTCACTGGATTTAATTTAAATTCTAATTTATATATTATTTTTTTACGTTTTCTCTCCCTTTTATTTACAGATGTCTTCGAACAACGAGCTAGATACTTCCAATAATAATAAAAATCATAATAATAATAACAACAACAATAATACAAATAATGTGAACAACACTAACAACAACAGCAACAATTTAACTGAAAACAACAACAGGAACAATCAATTAGATGACTACAACAATTGTACTATTAATAAGAATCCAACAGGTTGTGCAGCATCATCAGACGCTTCCAATTGTAACAACAATTCCGTGTCACAACAAATCCCCAATCCCAATTCCAATCAAACGAACAGTAACAGCAACAACAACAATGATAATGATAATTTACACAATAATAATACGAATAGCAACAACAGTATATCTAATTCAAACACAATTGGTTTTGAGAATTTAGAAGATGAACAGCAGCAACAACAACATAACCAACTTGTGGCAACACAGCAACAACAACATTCGCAACAATCACAAGTTGCTCCAGCAGAATTACAGGACACATTGGGTTTCTTTAATGAAACCCTGGATTTGTCTCATGAGGATATACAGAGAACGCTTATAGCCAATATGCCCAATGAGAACGCCTTATTGAATTCTTTGGATTTCATGAATCCCAATGGCGGTCAGCGTGTTGAAGCCGCAACCGATAGACCACAATGTGAACCAGATCAATTATCGGCTGGAGCCGATGCCGACGATGAAGATACCGATGATGTTTTCGCTCATCTAGATGCATTTGATATGCTTGTCGAATTTCCCGAACTGGATTTGGATGATAAGCAGGCCTTGTCAAATACAGCCCTGGAACAGGCTGCAAATGGTGTAACGGGTCATCATCACATTGGAGGAGGACATGCGGCCGTACCATGTCCTCAAAATTTACAAAATCTTCCAATATATGAAACTGCCAGTTCAGGACATCCAGATTTATCATGTAATAAGAAATTCTTGAAAATCTGTGACTTTAGTCCCGACTGGTCATACCCCGAGGGTGGTATAAAGGTATTGGTTGCCGGTCCATGGTCTATGGACTGCCAATACACCGTTTTATTTGACTCTCAACCTGTACCCACGGTAATGATACAAGAAGGTGTTCTGCGTTGCTATTGTCCCGCCCATGAAGTTGGTTTTGCCACAATGCAGGTCTCTCTGGATGGTTATGTTATTTCCGATTCCGTTATGTTCGAATATAAAATGTCGGCCTGTCAAGAGGCTCCATTCGACGATAATACCAATGATTGTCTGTACAAATTTTCGCTGTACAATCGTTTAACGACCATTGAAGAATCGCTGCAAGCCAAATCGGAAAGTGTTGAAGCTTTACCAGCGTCTCAGCAAATATTCTCGCTACAGGGAAATTTAGAAGAAAAATTGGTTAGTTATTGCCATCAACTAACTAAGATGACATGGCAGAGTAATGCCACGGCAAATGGTATTGCATGGAATGCCGGCTATAAGGGTATGACTTTGTTGCATTTAGCTGCCGCTCTGGGCTATAATAAGTTAGTGTGCGCCCTACTAACGTGGCGTTCGGAAAATCCTCATATCATTTTGGAAACAGAAATTGATGCATTCAGTCAGGATGCTCATGGTTATACACCGTTGGTAAGTTTGTGATTTTTTTGTTATTTTTGCTGTGGGGAGATATTAAAATGTGTGTTTGTTTATCTTTTAGACTTGGGCTTGCTCCCGCGGCCATTTGGAGACTGTCACCTTGCTATATAAATGGAATCAAAATGCTTTGAAAATCAAAAATCATGCTCAACAAACCCCAATGGATGTGGCTCATGTTAAGGGGTAAGAAATAGAAATATTTATTTTAGGTACCAAAATGTTGGGTCTAATTCAACCCTGTCGAATCGAAAAAAATACTCGAATATAGAATATCTTTACAAAATTAATAAAATTGTCATCAACCTTTTAAAAAGAACGGTAGCTACAATTGTATTGAGTATTAATGCCAAAATTAAAATTCTACGAGAGTATTCTTTTTATTATTGGAACAATTTTAAATGATAATTCTTGACATTGACTATTTTGTATTTATTTCAAGTATCTTTTTCTTTTTTTATAGCCACAAATTGGTCGTATCTGAATTATATCGTTTGGAACACGAATGCCAACGCAAACAAAGCAGAGGTTCTCTCAGTAGTTTATCAATAAATCTTAACAAATATTCGGTAAGCTAACCTTAATCTTAGCGAATTTGTTAGATGAAATATCGAAATAATTTCATTTCCATTTCAGCTAAGCAACGATGAGAGCGATGATAATCCCTCGTTTACAGTATTTGATACAACAGATCCATCGCAGCGCAGTCATGATGGTGTATTTTTAAGACCAGTAGCAGTGAGCAGGTAAGATATTTATTATTAAAAGATGTAACATATTCCTGTAAAAAGGACTTGAATGTCCTGTTCTACCGAAGACCAGAAGGATTTAGTTTGTTTAGAAGACCAACAAATTATAATATTTTCAATATAGGGTCATGATGTCATGCTTTATAGATAAGCAGATATTTATAAAGTCTAAAAAAACAAATATTTCTAGGAAGTCCTCATGCTCTCTTATATTCGAACAAAAACTGTCCTCTTTAACAAGAAAATATTTTCCATAAAAGATGCGTTTTATACCATAAAAAATAAAATCGCAAAACATGACTCTACATTGCAAAATTTTCTGTCAATAGACCTCTTATACTATGAAAACCCGACATACATGCTTATATCTAATATTTAGCTGGCTCGAAACAGAACATTTGTTCCATAATCCGAAAGTTAAAAAATTCTTGTCGCGTCGATCTTGTGCGCAGTTTTCCCAATTTGAAAGATCATGCTTTGATATGTCATCCTCCTCTTGATCTTTCCATCGAATTCTTGGCCTTCTCCTTCTGCGTGAACCGTCAGCTTACTGAGATGGGGCATCCTCATCCATTCACACAACATGGTCTAGCCACCGTAGTCGCTGCAGCTCGAACTATGTCAATGCCCGTGTGTAGATGGTATAGCTCGTGGTTCAACCGACGCCGATATTCACCGTCGACACAGATCGGCCCGCAGATCTATCGGAGAATTTTTCTTTCAAACACTCCAAAAGCTGCATCATCTGCTTGCGCAAATAACCATGCTTCAGATCCATGCACCAGCACTGGTAGTATCAGCGTTTTGTAAAGTGTGCGTTTAGTCTGACGAGAGGTGGCATTGTTTCTAAATTGGCCAACACTATCCTTCGCCGAATTTCAAAACTGACGTCATTATTTTTATTTATGGTGGTACCGATGTATATAAAATCATCCCTGCCTCGAAGCTGTAGTTTTCAAGTTCCACAGTTGGTTCGAGTCTGCTGGACGCCTTGTGAGTTTGGCCTTCTCGCCATTTACTGCCAGACCCACTTTGACAGATTCATTCTCAATTTGTTTCTGTTACCGCTCTCAATGTTCGACCCATTATGTCGATGTCATCGGCGTAGGCGTGTAACATGTGTTGTTTGGTGTACAAAGTGCCATTTCTGTTCACTTTTGCCTCACGTATGACCATTTCCAAAAGGATGTTAAAAAGGTCACACGACTAACTGTTGCATTGTCTGAATCCTCGTTCGGTATTGAAGGACTCTGAAAGGTCCTTTCCGACATTAACTGCAGACCTTGTGCCAGTTAATGTTATCCTGCATAGCCGTATTCATTTTGCAGGAATGCTGAACGCAGACATGGCTTTAAACCCCTCTGAATGAATTGGGCTGTCGAATGCGGCTTTATAATCGACGAAAAAGTGGAATGTGTCGATGTGTTATTGTTGGCACATATCGACTTTTCTTCTTTTTTGGGCACAGGACACAGGATTCTGAGGTTCCAATCATTGGACATGCATTACTCTAGCCAAATTGTACTAATTAGCTGGTGCATGCTCCTGACCAGCATCAGACCACAGGTCTTGATTGCTATTCTGACTTCATCTTGGCTAGGTGGTATACCTCTTCACCGCTACTATTTGATACCAGAAGTTTTTCAAAATGCTCCTTCCAGATCCTCAGCACGCTGTCTATACCTGTCACCAGGTTTCCTTCTTCATCTCTACAGGAGGATGTGCTTGCAGCAAAGGCTTCAGCTGGGTGTTTTACTTCTTGGTAAAATTTCCGGACTTCGTTCTGAAGTCCTGTACCCCTGGATTTGCTCACGATCACATTTTGTTCTTTTTTTCTGAAAATACGTTTCCCTTCTCTCCTTTTCTCCCGATAATTTTCCATCGCATTACGTCTTGCTACTGTCTGCAGGGTTGCCACATACGCTGCGTTTTTCACCTCAATAGCATTACCACACTCCTGAACGTGCCATGGGTTTCCCGATGGTGGTTTTTTGTACCCAAGTATTGCTTTTGTCTCAGTTTGTAGGAAGTGGGCAATTATTTGCACATCTGCTTCTTTGTTATTATCGGGACAAGGAGTGCTTTCGTTAAGCAGTTGGGTTGAGCGGAATAGGCTTGTGCTACCTGTTGTGTTTGCAGTTATTCGACGTCGAATTTCCGTATTGTGTTAGATCGCACCTTTGCTGCTACATTAAGACGAGTGCGAACCCTTTCTGCAACAAGGTAATGGTCCTAATCGATATTTGCTCCTCGGATCGATCGAACGTCTGGATGAATGCCTTTCATCTCTCACAACATCAATTTGATTTCTCTTTGTTTAATCGGGGAAAGGTAAATGGGGCCTCGTGTATATGGAGGAGCTTGAATCTGGTGCTACTAACTACCATGTTTTTTATCACCGCGAAGTCAATCAAACTCCTGCCATTTTCGGATGTATTTTCATGGAGGCTGAATTTTCCAATGGTGTTGCAAAAACTATTTTCCCTTCCGATTTTTTTACATAAAAATGTACTAGCAGAATTTTTTATGTCATGGCCAGGGCATCGGTCATATAATGTTTCTAGGCGCTCGTAAAATTTTTGGTCTGCTCATCTTTGTTTTCCGTCGGAGCATCTGAGCAAATATGACTGATGTAGAAGAACTTCTTTATACGGATTATAGCAATTCGCTAATCTAGTAGAGTGAATCTGGTGACGAGGTCTTCCATTCTCCTATTAACCATAAATCTGCAACCAAATTCATGTCTCGTTTCATGGCAGCTGTCGCCTGTCCCATTCCATCGCATTTCCTGTAAGGCAATAATATCAACTTTGTACTTCTTGAGTACATCCGCCAAAGCGAAAATTCGCAGATGATGGTTCTTTTTATGTTTGCGGTGTTCGTCAACATTAGGCAGGTTTGGTTTTCTTTTTCGTTGTTTTTTTATAGTAGGAGGAGTTTTCCGAGTGTAGGCAACAAACTCGACATCTCAACCCATTTTCTTATGGGTGAATTCGTGGTACCCATATCAATTCACGGGTGTTGAAAGTAGCTACCCCAGGTGACACCGCAGGGAGTTCAGTGTCCACAATTGAGATGAATGAGAAACCAAGATAAGCCTGAGTTTTGTCATGTTAAAGCCAATCACAGCCGTTGCTTGGTATCTGTCATCCCCTACGTCACCCCACTTTGATCAAATTTACCCCTTACTCTCATTAAGTCTGCAAGAGACATTGGTAGGTGTTTTCTCATGGTTTACTACATTATGTCAATTCTCCAGATCTTTATATATATGGGTGTCTTCTTTTTGAACTTTTAACTCTTAATTTTTTTTTTAAATTTCTATAGTTTTATTCCAAATTTAATATTTGTTATTTCCTTCCAGCAATCAAAGTCCCCCAAATAGTAGTCGCTTTTCGAAACGATCATCCATAGATAGTGGTATTAGCATGGATATTCGCAGTAAACCAGTTAAGACTTTTAAAGATTTGACACGTTTACATAGGTACGCTAAACTTGCACAATTTTGAAATATAATAAAAACGAATACCTCTTTTTTCATTACAGTTTGGATGCACATGACAATTATGGTGCTGGTGCTGGTGGCAGTGGTACTATGGAATCTCAATTGGATTCAATTGCAACACCGGCAAATACAACGAATTCTTTACTATCCCCATTAAGGAAAATGGATTTTGCCTTATGTAAGTATTAAAAACATGGGAATATAAAAAAAACAATTCTACACCAAGAAACGAAAATCATTTTCCGAAACGTTTTTTCCAAACTTTCACAAATTACATTCCAAAACAAAAAAATAATTCAGATGCATTTAACTTCTTCTTCTTCAAATGGAAATTTAACATTTTAATATTTTAATTTATTATATAATTTTTAATTATTTATAAAAAATATTTCAAAATTGTTATTTTCATTTAAATAATAATTTAATTTTCTTTTTTTTCATTTAATTTAACAACAAAAACTTCGAAAACTGTTACAATCAAAATATGTATGCAAAATTATTTTGTCATTAAAAAATCGTTTTAATTTTAATTAATTAAAAAAAAACAACCAATTAGGCGAAGTATCAACTGGTGATGCAAGTCCTTTGCCAGACAAAAGTAACGATGATGATGATACATCAACGATTGATAACGAAGATTGTTGCAACGATGTTGTTGCAATGCCCAATAAAAATATCGATGCTGTTGTAGGTCAGTTCAGTCTGTTTGTTATTATCAAAACCAAAATTACAAAAAAAACTTAAATTGCCAAAAGCCAAATAAAAAAAAAATAATTGTTGTGTGATAATTTGTTTAATTTCATATTTGTTTATTTGTTGTTATAAGTTATGCGTATTAACATTTGTATATTTATACCGTGGAACTTCTTACTAGAAGAAATCTTCAATTTGAAAAAAAAAAATATCTCTCATGTAAAAACACATATTGGCATTTTCTATTTCTACTTGTTAGAGATTCCACTGTATATATTCCATAATTCTAATTCTTGTTTACAAATCATTTGCACCAATACATTTTGCATATCAAACAAACATTTCGTATTCAGGTGTCAATCCAATTCTACATACTAACTGTGCTATTACTAATATCTAACATCATGTCATAATAATATCATATAATCAATATACTACATACCTATCAACACACATGTGTTTGTGTGTGTGTGTTATATCGTTGTTAACTAAATAACCATACTAGCAACTCTTATTATCGTCATTATTTTGTGTCTAAATTAGTATTAAATATTAATTGATATTTGTATACTTGATGTAATAATATGGTTGTAATTTGTGTGTATGTGTGTATATATATGTAAATATATACAATAGTATGTATGCGTGTACACTTAATTTACATACTAATATGTACAATATGAAAAATAACTAATATACTAATTACAATTATTGTATACATATTTTTAAGGCTATTTTGAAAACATATATATATTGTTGAGACCTTTAAAAGAATTATCTCTCAGATAAATGGGAAATTTAAGAAAAAACGATAAATAATAATAACATATCACAAAATTTCGGAAGGGGATAGAATTGACTTAACAAATCAGTAGTATAGTCGTTCTACATTCCGAACTGCAAAACAATTATCGACAATTTTCCATATAGACATCTTATAGCGAGCAATATTCGATAACCGCTGCAAACATTTTTATCTCTCATACTCATATTGGATACTAATAGAATTGATATTAATGTATAGGTCAACCGATCCAATTTCTGGCAATATTTTCATAATAATGTATGAGTAGCAACAATGTGTGTGATCTATAATGATTCAACAGACCGGACGACGGACCCGCATAAACCGACATAGAATTTTATTCTGATCAAGAAATATATATTGTTACGAATATAACTTTAGACTTAAGTTAATTTAGATGAATTCCGTTAATTTAAGAATTTGAATTGTAACGTAAATTTCTACTACGCAGTTTATTTGAATAACTTCACAACAACAACCACTGTATAGATTTTTCTACATCCTTCCATTTCCTCTTTCATTTTCTATTTTGTTATTGTCGTACAATTCTTGTTAAACGTCATTCCTCTTTCTTTGTTATTCCCTCGCCTGTATATGTGTTGTTGTTATTCCTCTTTCTTTGTTATTCCCTCGCCTGTATATGTGTTGTTGTTATTGTAAGTTTGTTTACTCAAGTTTGTTGTTGTTATTGTTCACTCAGTAAGTTTGTTGTTGTTATTGTTACTCAATGTGTTTGTTGCATTGGTAGATTGTTCGTGATCTAGGTGTTACCAGATCGTCTAGAAACTTCTGTAGCGACAGGCAGGGCTCATATAAATAGAGGGAATGGAAAGGCAGTGAGTCAGTTGTGAATCAGATCGCGAATTGAAACCGTCGTGTAAAGTAAAGTGCAAAGTAAAGTTGTGTGAATAAAGTCATTGTAATAATCGTAATCTGAAAGAACCCGCGTTTTATTTGGTACGAATTGTATCGGGAAATAAAACAACGTCTACACGGGATTTAGTAAAATCCAAGAACGTAACAATTGGTGTCAGAAGTGGGATTACGATAATACTACGATGAAGTTTAAGGATCTACGAGTGGAAGACTTGAAGAAGGAGCTAAATAAATTGGAATTGTCCTCTACTGGCAATAAGGCTGAGCTACAAAAACGCCTGTTGGATGAGTTCGAGCGCCGTGGTATGAACATCGATACATATGAGTTTGACAGTAAGGATGAAGTGGATTTATCGGAAATGGGCGAATCCAACGGTGGGGAAGTCTCGTCAGTAGCTGCCAGGGGTGCCGATTTAAGAGAAATGCTGGCTAAAATGTTCGAAGAGAATTCCCGAATGTTAGCAGAAAACACGAGAAGAATGTTCGAAGAGAATGCCAGAGAGTTTGAGGAAAATTCCAGAAGGAGCGAAGAGAATTCCAGAAAGTTAGAAGAAAACACGAGACGAATGTTCGAAGAAAATTCGAGAATAACGAACGAGAAACTCGAGTACATTACAGAAGTTATTGGAAGGAGAGTGGAAACCGTGGAGGTCCAAATTAAAGATTTGGATAAGAAAGTGCAGTCGGTTGACGAGAAATTTCTGGCCCACGACCACAGGTTTACGAATCTGGAGAAGAAAATTTCGGAACTGGAAATTAAAGGTGGTCCGGTGCGAGCTCCTGATAACACATTAAAAATCAAACCTCCGGTATTCGACGGCTCTACGTCATTCAATGTTTTCAAGTTACAGTTCGAGACAGTGGCTTCTAGAAATTCGTGGAACGACAGCGACAAAGCGGTTGCACTACTTCTGGCATTGAAGGGCAGTGCTGCGGATGTTATACAGAGTATTCCTGTCGCTTCTAGAAGCAACTATGAACATGTTATTGCTGCACTGGAACGTAAGTACGGTGGCGAACATAAACAAAACATCTACCTTATGGAACTAAGGGGAAAAGTACAGAGGGCAAACGAGACGCTACAAGACTTTGCAGCTGAGGTGGAACGTTTGGTGCTAATGGCGTATCCAGGAGAGAATCACCCATTGCTGGACCGTATGAAAATCGAAACCTTTGTGAATGGCATACGTGACCCTGAGATTAAATGTGCAACATATGCGTCACCAAAAGCGTCGTTTGCCGAAACTGTGTCGTTTGCCCTTGCCCAAGAGACGGCAAGAATAATTGTTAAGCCCCAGACCCACAAGATTCGCCAACTGGAGACCGAAGGTTGCGAACCCAAATCTCTCGTTAACTCGATCAAGGACGCCATGAAGCAGGTAATAGAAGAAACAAAGTTAGTAGGGATGACTAAGCCCAGGGTTAGATGCTACAACTGCGATAAAGCAGGTCATATTGCGCGCGAATGCAGAGCTAAGCGCAAACGATCCAGGTCATCGTCACCACCTCCAACGAAAGATGGTAGAAGAATGGCTCAACAGTCCACCAATGAGTCACCGTTAAACAGAATCGAGCACAGAGAAGGCGGAAAACGCGATAATGCTGATGCCCTGTCTCGTCGGCCATGCAAGGTAGAATACAGGCACTGCTCAAAGGCCGAGTGCAAAGAGAATATCGTTGATGTCCGACGATTGCAGTTTGAGTCGGGTGAAGATTGGTCGACGGAACAACGAAGAGATCCCATTCTGGGCAAAATAATTTCGGCCATAGAAACGGGCAAGCGACCTAGTCGGAAAGAAATTACCTCCGAAAGCCCTCTTTTAAAATCCTATTGGGCCCAGTGGGACAGTCTACTTATAAAAGATGGCTGCCTATATCGCAAATGGGAAAGTGAGGACGGTAAATCTCACCGGAACTTGATCGTCGTCCCAGACTCCAAAATAAGAGATGTCTTGTCGGAGTTTCACGATGGGCAAAGTGGAGGACATCTTGGCATAACAAAGACCGCTGAAAAGGTAAAGCAGAGATTCTACTGGGTCGGCTGTCAAAAATCCATTGCCGACTGGATCGCCAATTGTGAAAGGTGTATAAGAGCTAAAGGTCCAACACGGAAGAGTCGAGGCTACATGCAGCAGTATAATTCAGGAGCCCCTTTTGAAAGAATCGCAATGGATGTAGCTGGACCGTTCCCAACAAGCGACTCTGGGAACCGGTATGTCTTAGTGGTCATGGATTACTTCAGTAAATGGCCAGAGGTTTATGCTATCCCAAATCAAGAAGCCAGGACAATTGTGGATGTGTTCAGCAAAAATTGGATTTGTCGCTATGGTGTTCCATCTGAGGTCCATTCCGATCAAGGTAGGAATTTTGAATCAGCGATCTTCAAGGAAATGTGTGACTCCTACGGAATCAAGAAAACCAGAACGACGCCCCTAGATTCAATCGTACCTGGAAGAACAATCGCACCCTGGAAGAACATCTACGGAAAGTGGTGGACAGTGGCCAACGAGACTGGGATGAGCATATTCCAAAGTTTTTACTGGCGTATAGATCGGCCATTCATGATTCCACATCCCGGACCCCAGCCAAAGTTCTGTTCGGAAAGGAATTAAAGCTACCTGGCGATTTGATATTCGGTGCCACCCCAAACGACGATGTGAACCAAGATGAAGACAGTCAAAACTCTTTTAGTAAAGTCCACGATGCAGTCCGACATCGAATAAAAATGGTTAGCAACCGCATGAAGGCAAGGTACGATCGAGCGGCAAATACCGATGGGTTTCAAGAAGGGCAACTGGTACTATTGTTCAACCCACAACGAAAGAAAGGACTATGCCCCAAATTGCAAACGCACTGGGAGGGACCCTACAAGATTGTCACGAAAATAAATGACGTCGTTTATCGCATCCAGAGGAGCGACAGTCCCAGGTCGAAGATGAAAGTTGTACATTTGGAGCGGCTGACCCCCTACGGAACGGGAACTGTGCCTATTCGGGACGAACAGGCTTAAGCGGGGGGCAATGTTACGAATATAACTTTATTTTTAAGTTAATTTAGATGAATTCCGTTAATTTAAGAATTTGAATTGTAACGTAAATTTCTACTACGCAGTTTATTTGAATAACTTCACAACAACAACCACTGTATAGATTTTTCTACATCCTTCCATTTCCTCTTTCATTTTCTATTTTGTTATTGTCGTACAATTCTTGTTAAACGTCATTCCTCTTTCTTTGTTATTCCCTCGCCTGTATATGTGTTGTTGTTATTCCTCTTTCTTTGTTATTCCCTCGCCTGTATATGTGTTGTTGTTATTGTAAGTTTGTTTACTCAAGTTTGTTGTTGTTATTGTTCACTCAGTAAGTTTGTTGTTGTTATTGTTACTCAATGTGTTTGTTGCATTGGTAGATTGTTCGTGATCTAGGTGTTACCAGATCGTCTAGAAACTTCTGTAGCGACAGGCAGGGCTCATATAAATAGAGGGAATGGAAAGGCAGTGAGTCAGTTGTGAATCAGATCGCGAATTGAAACCGTCGTGTAAAGTAAAGTGCAAAGTAAAGTTGTGTGAATAAAGTCATTGTAATAATCGTAATCTGAAAGAACCCGCGTTTTATTTGGTACGAATTGTATCGGGAAATAAAACAACGTCTACACGGGATTTAGTAAAATCCAAGAACGTAACAATATGTATATTTATGAGGTCTAGCTATGTCGGTTTATGCGGAGTTTCAAACGGAATAACAAATTTAACATACACTCCAGAATCAGATAAACCTATATGTACGAGGGCATTTCGAAAGTACTTAGCCTAGCACAAAAAGCGCGGTATAAACAGAAAAAAGTGAAGTGTTTTGAAAACTTCCATCACACATGTTAAATTTTGTTTCCATCTGGCAACTCCTTTATATAGAAACAGGTGTTCAAAAAAGACGCATACGCAATTTTTTACAATGGAAAAATTAGAAATGCGTGCTTTCATTGTAAAACAATTGCGGATGCGTCATTTTTTAACAACTGTTCCTATATGAAGCAGTTGCCAGATCGAAATAAAATTTAACATGTGGTCATAACAGAGATGGAAGTTTTCAAAACATTTAACTTTTTTCTGTTTATACCGCGCTTTTTGTGCTAGGCTAAGAACTTTCCGAACTTCCCTCGTATATATGTGTATATCTGATTCTGGAGTGTATGTTAAATTTGTTATTCGGGTTGAAACACCTCTAAATATTAGCTGAAGACCCAATAAATATACATATATACTTATTGATCAGAATAAAATTCTATGTCGATTTATGCGGGTCCGTCGTCTGTCTGTTGAATCATTTTAGAGCACACACATTGTTGCTACTCATACATTGTTATGAGTAGCAACAGCGGGATAGCAAATTGGGATATATTGGTCCACGTTTGACTTTTCCTCCAAATATTTTGGATATTTTTGGCATTTTTTAATTGAATTGGTTGTAATTTGGTATGTTGAGTTTCGATTATGTTGAGCTTTTTACGATAGCCCCCATATAACGGTACCTCCACATATTCAGAATGTTGGCGATTTTTGGTACGTTTTAAAGTGAGTTCCCTACCAAGTACTATCAATATTCATCCACGTTTTAAAATAACCCCCTTATGACGGTACCTCCCATGAGTTGGGCAAGTTTTTAACCGAATTCTCCGTAATTTAGTATTTTTATTTCATATAGGGTAAAAAATAAATCTTCCTACATAAATTTTTACGCGAAGTAAAAACGGGTCCAAGTACTTTAATTGGCCAGATCATCGTGGAGAGTAGAAAAAAAAAAGAAAACCTATCTACGTTTTTATTTCTTTTATTGATCAGGAGCAGATATAGTCTGGAGCCGGTGTAGGTTACTTGGCTTCCTGCATCGAGACGGTGGGTTTTGGCTTTCACCTCACCCTTACCACTCTTGTCAGAATTCTCCATCGACACTACCGACGCTTACGAAGCTGTACTTCGTGCATCTAATGACTGCGTGGGTCTCTTAACAGCAGGTTGTTGCTCATCCGAGGATTTTATTCTCTTCACAGCCGTGGGCTGCGTTTGAGTTTTGGCTCCCGGAGTTGTAACTGCCGTAGAGGTTGAGCCAGATGTCGTGAACACCTGCTTCGTGTTCACCATCTTTGGTTTATCCACCAACAACTGCCCAATTGTCATAACCTTAGATTTCGGTTTCGACATTTCGGCAGTGGACGGATTTACAGAGGGAAGTTGTGCCTTATCAGTTGCATGGGAAGATCCTAGCCACCATCGTCCTAGTTGTGCTCGGGCCACTTGCAGTTGTCTCCTCTTTTGAAGGGACTACCATGGTAGACTTCGCACGTGATGTAGGAATTCTATCAATTAAGAAGTAGTTTGGATACTCTTCCTCTCGTCACTACTCAGCGTCTGAGAAGACTCACGTTGTTTTGAAGTAGTCACCAGAATAGCTATTGTATTAGTCACCGTAGCACTAATTACAGTAGTATCAATGACGTCTTTCTCATCTGTCAAGGGAATAATGGGCTTTGGCGCAAAAGAATGGTTCGGTTGAGTGAGTTCTGGCCTTGTAGAGTTCAAGATTGAGGGTGCCAAGGCAGCCATACCAGCATCAGTCGAAATATTGAATACGTTCACATTGTTTTGATTATGTATTTAAATTTGTTACTCTGCAGTATATTTTCAATATACGTAGTTCCATACAATGAAATAGTCCCCACAGGTCATTACCATATAAAAATCGCATCCCATTTCGAAATTTTCAACAGAAGTAATTATAATATTTTATCCAAAATTTTTCTATAAAGGTTCATATTTTTCGTTATGTGTTAAAGAATAAACTACTGTTAGGTAGCCAATATCATTGTCCCAGTATAAAGATCCCGACTGATTGAACGATTATTAACTATTCGAAAAAAGAATAGACCTTCCCAAATTGTTGGTACTGTATGGCAAAGTGTTTGTCATTTTTTATTTGTCAATTAAATATATTTTTTCATTTATTACATATCGTAAAAACATTGTGCCGAAATTTAATATATTTTAAAGAAAACGCTTGATTTTTTGTTGTAAATACATTTTCATTACTCGTTTAACATAAATCGTTTAAATCGTTGTCTAACAATTGATGTAGTTTTCATGTTGTATATTTCAATGTGTCTGTGTGCGTGTCTAACTGTAACTAAATGTTGATGTTGATTAATTGTTCAAAATATCTAACAAATAATTTCGAAATTTTAAACATCTGTCTTATTTTTTCTTATAATAATTACAGGGGATTCAGATGCCAAAGTGTTAACACTTGCTGAACATATCATAGCTGCTATGCCAGAACGTATTAAAGTAAGAGATCGCCATTTCTCAAGTATTCAAAAAATTATAGTAAATATTCTATTTCCTTTGTATTCCTTTCAGAATGAGGCTGATGAAATGATGGTCTTGGGTAGCCCCATGACAGAACCATTAAATTCCGAATCATCGGGTTTAAATGATAGTTTTATGGATCCCCTTTTGGATTCACTGCCCAATGCCCATTTCGATAATGAATTTAATTTCGACTTCAACGATCACACATATCGTTATCATGAAGTTAGTACACCCTGCTCTAGTCTAAGTCCTGCCAGTTCAGGACCACTGCAATCACCGGCCAGCTATTCAATACTGGGTCATGATCCATCAGTTAGTTCACCGAGTCCGCCACCATCGACAAAACAACTGACGGAATTTCTGCATGCCTCCAGTAATTCACAGTATCCATTTGAGGCTGATTTTAGTAAATTAACATTAACAGGTGGGTTCCAACACACATTGATTTCGAAACCTTTACTGATTAAAAAAAAATAACTTTTTACAGACACCGAACAACGAGAACTCTATGAGGCTGCCAAATGCATACAAAAGGCTTATCGTTCGTACAAGGGCCGCCAGAAGTTGGAGGAACAAAATAAGGAACGTACCGCCGCCATTGTCATACAAAACTATTATCGCCGCTACAAACAATTTGCCTATTATCGTCAAATGACCAATGCCGCTTTAGTCATCCAGCATGGTTATCGTTCGTATTGTCGTAATAAACGTTTTAAGAAATCTCAAAACACCTCCACTATGATGGCATCAGGTGGTGCGGCTTTACACAATAGCGACAGTCAGGATAGCACGAATTCCCAGTGTCTGTCAAGCTTTTTTGATAATTTCGCCAAACAGGAACAGAATGCTGATAGTTCACCGCAATCGTGTAGCACCCCGAAGGAAACAAGTCCTTCGGGTCCATTAAAGTAGGTTAGGATATATTAAATTGATTTCCATGGTTAATATTTCTGCTTTTCTTTTAGACGTACTTACTCACAATCGACACAAAATCAAGCTGCCAGAAAAATTCAACAGTTCATGCGACAATCACGCATTAAGTGAGTATATTTTTGTGATATTATATTCTATACTATTGAGTAGCATAAAAGACAAGTTTTGTATATAATAATCATATTGTGGGTTATGAAAATATATGGTCTGTAAAAATTTGTTAGATTGTGTTGCATGATGTATCACATCATGATGTGATGTACAAGCTTGAATCGTTTTTAGTGAAAATGTCCAATGTATATCGAAGCTGTAAGCGTACATTTCTTCAAATAAAATGTTCAATCGAAGCTACAAATGTAAATTTCTTAAGGGGACATTATCTTCGGAAATAATTTCCTAAGGGGACATCATCATCATCGGAAATCATGCCCGCTGTAGAAAAGAATGCTTTTGGTTAATTACAAAAACAACAACAAAAGTATGTCAATTAGTTTTCTTATGCTTTGAGTCTTCAAGCGCTTATATACAAAGTAACAAATCTTCAGGCACGTCCATTTGCCAGCCGTTTGAATATTATAAGATAAAAGGAAATTACAAGCGTAGATTTTTTTCAAAAATATTCAAGGTCTATTAGAGTAGACCAATACAAAGGTTAACTTATGTGCTCTAACTAAATCTATTTTATATTTGAATCGATTTTAGATATATTTCCAAATAATATACATTTATACCCTTTACCACTCTGTGATACAGGGTATTATGTCTTTGCGCATACGTTTGTAACAGGCAAAAGGAATCGAGATAGACGCATGGTTCACTTGGTAAATATACATAGAATCACTTTCTGAGTCGATTTATGGATGTCCGTCTGTCCGTACGTCCGTTCATGTATTTTTGTGAGCAAAGTACAGGTCGAATTTATGATCCGAATTGGATGAAATTTGGTACAGGTCATTTATTTGGATCATAATGAACCCTATTGTTCCGATTAAGACAGATTGCGCATTGAATTCGGTGCTGATTGACGTATGCGAAGTTTTTGAAATCAGTTCAGACTTAGATATTGCTCTCATATACCGAAGAACCTATGTTTGTTCTATTTAAACGGAATTTGACAGAGAGTATTGCATGGAGTTTAGTGTGATTCGACTAAATTTATTTTAACGGATCACCATAGATCTTTTTCGTTTTGAACAATATTGTAGTCTGTATGGAAAAAAAGTCCGTCACTACAAGAAAAATCTGCTCTAAAAAGGAATGTTCTGGTGTGATGCCAAATGTCCGAACCTTGACACGGTTGAATTTAATTCGTAGATGCAATTTCGCAACAATAGTCGACATAAATACAACTTATCAAGTAAAGACATTTGTAATCCACATTTCCCAATATGCCTGATGAGCCGCTTAACCAACGGCGAAACGCGTTCCCATATATATATATATATATATATATATATTTCCTTTTCATTGCAACTCCGATCATGTAGCTCATCTCGAAAGAGAAATTAATAAAAATATTTGGTTTAGCTTATTAAATTGAGTCTAGAATGACGTGTGTTAAGTTTCGTTGAAATTAGTTCAATTGGGATAAATTGTTTGAAATTGGGAGATATATCCCATATATTTTTTCGTTCGATTTTATGCAAATGATGCACCGAGGATCCTATGTTTTATGGCTAAACATAAAATATAGCATAGCGTGTTGGGTTGAAATCGGTTCAGATTTAGAAATAGCTTTCGTATATATTTTCATCCAATTTCATCTAAATGGTATACCAAAAAGCTAAAATTTGTCCGATTGGTACGAATTTGTGCACAACGTACCAAACCGAACCTTGTAAAATATGTATGTATGCAGATTTTGGTATAGCCCTTCTATATTTCCGTCTGAATTCCTACAAATTGTGCACCAAATTATAAGCGTTTTTCTGATCGAGATAAATTATGGACAGAGCACTTTACTGCAGCATACTAAATTGTTGCTCAAATACGTCCAGGTTTACATATAGCTCCCATACATCAGTTTGCTCGATTTCATACAAATGATACACCAAAGAACCCATGTCTGCCCGATTGGCATGCAATTTTTCATAGATTTCAGTGTTGTATGTGAATAGGTTGTTTTAAATTAATTCAAATATGTATGTAGTCTATTGTATATATGAGCATATATTGTATGTACCCAAAGTGGTGAAGGGTATTATATAGTCGGCGCGCCCGACTTTTGAACATTCCTTACTGGTTTAAATTCTGAAATATATCTTAATGTGGGAAACTTGTATTTCTAAATATGGTTTATTAATACATTTTCATTGGGCATAAACAATTCCTAACTTTATTCTGCAATACATATTCAATAATATACTCAAAAAAAAAAAAAAATTGAATTAAATATAAATAATTAAAATTATAAATCATACAATTCCATGCACAGCATATGGGATGGAAATTTAACAACGCTGGTAAGATTCTGCAATAAAAAGGATGACTTTTTTCGACTAGATTTATTTTCCTTTGGTTATGTTATATTTTAATTAAGTTAGTTGTTATTTTTAGTTTACATTTTTATTAAAGAATACATTTTAAAATATTAAAAATAATATTTTTTTGTTTTTCCGCTTTTATAGACTTCAGAGAGAACGAGCCGAAAAAGAGAAGCTGGTGCACCAACGCAGGGCGGAATACCTTCAAAACTTGCAGTATCAAGGACAACAGGAAATTGCCTGCCCAATCGAAAAGAGGTAAGTGGAAATACATTTTAAAATTTATTAAAATGAGTTTGTAAATGGGAAAAAAATCGACATAAAGGAAATTTAATTTATGAAAAATTGTTTATTGTTAAGGAATGTTATTTTCGTAGAATATTTGTATAAAAATTTATATTGGAGTAATATTAATTATTTTTTTATAAATAAGGCCACTGAAATAGAAAAAAACGAAATTTTTTAAAAAATACTCATAAAATTTGACTGAGACCATAGTGAAACATAAAGCTATTTATTCCTGCCTCATAATTAGCAAAGAACTCATTACACCATAACGCACCTATGTTCACCTATGACTAATTTTCCCTTTGACCCATAAGAATTTTTTGGACGTTCAAGAAATGAGCTCCATTTTATTATTTAGATTATTATTATTTTTTTTTTTTTATCACCAAATAAAACATTCAAATTAATTATTTTCAAATATCTTTCTTACAGTGATACTACAACAGAACATCACAATGACTCCAACATCACAGAGCTTGTCAATAATGACATAACCAACAACAACAATCATCAATGAAAAGGAAAATTAATTAATTATTAGTGTAAATTACCAAAAAAAAATCCCCAAACATACAAACGAATTCTTAAGTATCTAAGAGAATGCAAAACAAAAAACCCAACACCTTCCACACATTTGCGTACCCCCCAAAAGAGGAATTTCGAAAAAACCTCTAAAAAAAGAAATGTCCACATCTACTTAAAATTTTACTTAAACGTACTACTAAAACTAGCTCCATTAAGAATCTACAACCTTCCTTATTCCCTTACAAAACAAAACATATAAAAAAATGAAACAAACCAAAGAATGGACAAAAATTGTCATTTCTTTGGGGCAAAATGAATTTTCAGAATTTTACTGAGATCTTTTTCAAAAAATAAAGCTTTACTTCAATGAGTGAAACTATATAACTATTATATAATTATTACTATTTAATATTATAAAAAAAGAAAAAAAAAACTAAAACAAAATATATTACAAAAAAAAAACTGCTCTTAAACTATTATTACTATTATAATAATAAATTATTATTATTACTGTTACTGAAAGAAATTAAAAAAAAAAAACAACAACAAAATCACTATTAAACCTTAAATAAATAAAATATAATTTATTAATTTTAATAATACTATTATCTTAATTATAGAAAAAAGATAACAAGAAGGCAATGAAATAGCCTTAAACACACATACACACACTCTTTAAAAAATAATTATCTAATTAATGAGAGTATTATTATTCAAAGAAAAAGAAAAACCAAACCACTTTAAACACATATAAATATTAATATTAAGATCACTCTATAAGAAAAAAGAAATATTGTTAAAAAAAACCCTCCCTACTTAGTAAAATAATATTTTAATTATTTTTTCATTTTCTTTTTTCATATTTTAATTTGTTTTTATCTTTAAACAAAATGAGAATTAAGACCTCTTTAAATGTTCTAAACACTTTTTTATTACTATATATAAAAATTTAAAAATATAAACATATATAATATTAACAATATATATAAATATAATTACTTAGTATTAGTTAGTCACTATTTTTTCTTCAATTTGTAATCTATAAACTGCAAATTAATAAACCAAAAAAAAAAATCTACAAAGAAATCGAAATGAGAGAGAATTTTATGTACGTGCACTTTTTACTAAACCCAAACTAAATATATTAAAAAATTAAACAATAATCTATACATATTTATTAAGTATAACACCCTTTCACACCTATACACCACTATATTTGTATGTATTCTATTTAGAAAAGCTCTTTACATTTTTTTTTAATTTGTAATTTTTAAATTGTAGCTATATAAAAAAATATTAAACCTTAAAAACCCCAAGGCATCTATGCTGTTTTTTTTCGTATGAATTATGCGTAGATTCGTTTTCAAAACATTTTTCTGTCAATGATTTCAAAAATTCCAGTCTCCTTCGGGTTATTCGTTTCTTTAAATGAGATTATATATGGACTTTGATATGGGTAATGGATTGTTCTCAATGATCCCTTCTTCTTGTTGTTGTTTAGCAACAAAATACATGTGGTGGATTATTCGTTGTCTGGTTCTGCTTCTTCTACCTCCAAATTTAAGAATTTTGAAACTTCGGCGAGAGTTGAGTCGGCTTGAGCTGGGCAGTTGAAGAGGTGCAACGAGTCGTCTGGTCCAAGTTCACATACAGGACATGTGTTATGAATCGACCCGTCAATTCTAGCCTAAAAGGAAATAAGGCGTTTGAACAATTCTGATTTTCTGATCGTGTTTGTCCGGGCAACTGTTTCTCCTCTGCTGCGATGGATGGGGACGATATTGCTCTACTGCCTGAGCGACTGCGTCCCTGAGAATACCATTCAGATCTGCTTGTTAGGCTACTTGATGTAGGGGTTCACGTTTATAACTTTCGACTTCTCTGTCTAGATCATGATCATCTGGTCCTAGTCCACATGCAAGACATGTGTTAGATATCGAACCGTCAGTTCTTGTCCAATAGGTATTGAGGCGGTTGCACCATCTTGATCTTAGTAGAACTAATACTACTGGTGTTTGTCTGTGCAGATGATTCACCTCTGCAGCGATCGATGGGAGGTGGTCTCCGATTATGCTATGCACACGATATTACTGTCTGAGCGACTGCGTCCCTGTGAATATCATTCATACCTGCTTGATAGCCTTCTTGATCTAGGGACCTTTAGACCTCTCTCTCAAGATCATGAAGATCATTCCTGACGTGCCTGGGCGGAAGAGTTTTGTCCTGACGATAGCACCCAAACAAGTACTGCATCAACAACATATAATTGTGTCGATGGACGGGTAAGATCTTCGTCTTCTCATGATGATGGTCCACTGGAGTCATGCGGAGACACCCTATTGCAGTTCTCATGCCAGCAGTCTGACATGTGGATATTCTTCCACTGCGTATTACTTATGCAGTAGATTTCGGATATAAAAAACTCAAAAAAGCCGGAGATTTCTTTCTTTTTTCTTATATGGAATTATCGGATATAGAAAGTATAAGCTCGGTGTTTTTGATAATCTGTGCTTATATCCGATATCTACAGTATTCGCAAACCACACTGACGCCGCATAGCTTACCACTACTACCACCGACCTATTGCTTTCTTTATCAGCGCCCAAGTGCTGCCACCAAGCGACTTGAGGACCTTGTTCCTACTTCTCAGCTTAAAGCATAAAGCGGTGGCTTGCGCAGACGACTTGAAAAGGCTTTCGAACCTTACTCCTAGTATCTTGGGGTAGTTAGTGGTCGAAATCGAAATCTTCATCGACCATTATGTTCAGTGGGATCTTCATTTCAGCCACCCATGTGGTGAACAGTGTGGCTGTTGAATTTGAGGCGTATATTTTCATATTCCTCAGATGGAAGAAATATACGAGATCAGTTATGTAGAAATTTAACCTCTCACATATGTCATCAATAATGGGACCAGTCGCCATGATCGTACAATCATCCGCAAATATTAGACCTCTATGCCTTCAGGTGGTTGTGGAATATCAGCAAGGTTGAGGTTAAACGATTGGCGTCCACACATTTAGTTGATTATCCAACGTTTCAAACACGGTCGTAGATTTCCCTTCTCTATGTCTTCGAACAGCTTGGCATGGTTGATTATATCGAAGGCCTTCGATAGGTCAACTGCCACTAACACCGTCCGGTTGCACGGTCTGTTCTGGTTAAATCATCTGCTAATATATGTGGAAATGGCGGGTAATGCTGCATTTTACGGAATCCATGTTGATGTTGGGCAACTGGAAAACTGTTTTCCAACGATGGAAGGAGTAGCGCTTCAAGTATCTTTGCTACTGGCGACAGGAGTGAAATCGGCCTGTACTATTAACCCCTGCTGGCATCCTTGTCAGGCTTCAGGAGAGGGATCACACTGCCTATTTTCCAGGCTTCAGTAACTATGTATGTGGTTAACTACAAGTTGAGGGCCGATGTTAAATACTCAACTCCGGGTTCACACAGCTGACCTTGGATATCCCCTCCTGGACCAACACTTTGGATGACTTAGCGTTTTTAATGACATCTTTAACGTACTCTTTCGTAAATTGTGTTGGTACCTCCTCGACTCGAAGTGCCCTTATGCGATGTAGTACAATCCTTTTCCCCCTATCACTCTCGGGCTGCTCTATGAATTGCCGGTTAAAATAACTCGCACGCCCCTTCGGGTCTGTCACAGTTACGTCGTTAAATGTGACAGCCGTCCTATCATCCTTTCTTCCAGGATTCGAGAGTGACTTAACCGTTGCCCACAATTTACTTGTTCCGGTGACAATGTTGCATTGCTTCAGGTGGTCTAGCCACTTTTTCCTTTTGTGCCCGCCTACTAGTCTGTTGATTTTAAGTGTAAGTTCTCGTACCATTGGGTCTTCAGGGGTCGTACGACGGAGCTCATCACGCTCAGTAGCCAATACCGTTGCCTGTGCTGGGAAGTTTGGTCTTACTTCCGGTATTCGACCAGCAGGTATGAAGTGAGCGGCAGCAGTAGCGATGACTTTACGGAAATTCCTTCCAGCCACCCGAGGATCTGAGGGAATAGGCAGCTCTCTGAAGCGGTGATTAGGCCAAACCAGGCCAATCATCTTTCCCATGGTTCAGGAAAGTTCGGCGTTTAGAGGTGATGAATTCTGGTGGCCTGTTGACGGATACGATGATAGAAAGGTGGACTGAGCCGAGTGAAATGACAAATTGAAAGTTTACGTCATTTATCAGACCTGTGGGCCTATTCTGTAACTTTTTAACAACATTCGATTTTGTTTATTTTACAACAATTTCATTTGTTTGTTTTATTGTTTTTACAACAACAAAAGAAATTTAAACAATATCGAATGTTGTTTAAAGTTACAGAATAGGCCTACTGGGGGGTTACTCTGTATTGCGTTGCGAAAGCAAGTGCGATGCGAAAGCTAAATGCGTTAAGAGTACAATTTGGTACTCTGTAACGCTCAAGCAAA